GGTGACGTCAGAAGTGGTCATTACTGGATCTACATCTACGACTTCCACAAGGATGAGTGGAGAGTCTACAACGACGAGAATGTAGATCAAGTTGAGCAGGAGAGCGTAGTGCTCGACAAGGAGGAAGCACACCGCCCGAAGGTCAGCACAGGTGTCGTGTACATAAGAGCCGATCTTGTGGACGACTATACCGAGGCCGTGTGCCGCCAGCCTGAGAAGACCGAGGAGGATACCCAGAAGGATATTGAGATGAAGGATGTTACTTTCGACGACGATTCTAACGATGAGATGCCCGCGTTGGAGCCAGTAGACTTGAAGGATGTGCCTGTCATCGACGGAGTGGAGAAGGAGTAAGCTCTCTTCTATTCTGAGCCCCTGCTCCTATCTTCCTCTTTCCAAGTTACCGGTTGCTGATTAGACTCTTCTATTAGCATTACTCCTCCGGCAAAGAGAAAGGGGGTTCGATTGGAGTCTCCGCCCAAGAGGGGCAAAAACTATGACGGCTTTGGACAGACCGATCAACCGGATGTGGGCCCGCGATGTGCGAGCCGACTTGAGCTACGTTGAGCGTATGCTGTGATACCGATGAGTCGTGCTGACAAGCATCTTGGTATCGGTAATGGGGCATGAATAGAATACGGGTAATGCATAACGATGAGTTCGAACTCATATGGGGAATTCTCGTGATATCATACATCTATGTGATACATCCGTCGTCTTACTTGACTTGTGAAGCTCACACAGCCTGTCTCTTCCTCCCACCGCCCCTACGCCAATTCCACAGCGCCTCCTGAGCAAACGTGCGTGCAGTCAGATGACCCCTCTCCTTATTCGCCTCTTCCGTCAACGTCTCAATCACCCGCCCTTCTTCAACGCACTGCCACAGTCCGCCTGCAATGGCACTGCCAACATCCTCTTCCACCCACTCCTCTCCATCCTCGTCTTCCTCCACCTCTGGGTTCTTGGCTACCTTAGCCGGCCCATCAGTCGTTTGCCCCGTGCTCTCAACCCCGAATTCTCCTCTCCCTAATCTGTATAGGATACGACCCAGGGTTTGGTATGCGATGCACCGTTGACTCGCGACTTTACTCCGCGCCGTAACTGCAAGTTCGGGAATTGTGTAGCCTGCTGCCTCAGGGGCTTCGGCATGGTGGTGGAGACCCCGGTCGGTCGGCATCGATCGTGCGACGCTGGGTGCTAGCAAGTTGCCCGAGAAGTCGAAGCGGAGTTCGGCGGGGTTGAGAGCGGTTTGCGAGGGGTGGTAGGGCGACTTTGTGTCTGATGGGTCGATGGGCGACATCCATGATAGTGAGGAGGGATCGTAGGGTAGCGTGGGAAAGTATTTCTCGTGGAGGTTCTTTAGGAATGAGGGGTCGTTTGGGTCGAGGTCGGGCGGTTGTGGGGGTTGTGGGAAGTGTATTGAGTCGTTCGTATCTGGCATGGCTGTCGATGTGGTGTTGTCGTCTGACGGGGGTTGCGCGGTGGGTATTGAGGTTGAGGCGGGCTGTGACGGCGCTTCGTTTTCGGGTTCTGGTGCCGCGAAGGAGACTTTCTTGGTGCTTGGTGTCTTTGGCTGAGGTTCTGACTTGGGTTCGTCAGTCGCCGGGGTCGTTGTGGCAGCTGCTGGTGGCGGCTCTGTATCAAAGTCCTGTTCATTGCTCCCCTGGTCAATATTGGACCGCATGAGCAGCTTCTGCAGCAATGCTGGATTGAGACTTGACATGAGCTCTTGTCGCTCTTGCTCGATCTCCGCATCTGACATGGCTGCCAGCGTCTGCCTATTCTCCTCATCTATTGCCCTTCTCTCCTCGTCCCTGTCCACACCGAATGCGCTCCGCGGCTTAGGCGCATCCTGCGTCGTTGCCGGCGCTTTCGGTGGCGCGGTAGCTTGTTGTTCCTTTGCGGCGCGTTGTTGTTTGAATGCCGATACTCTGGGTACGCGTTTCTTGTGCGCCGGGAACCCATTCACATTCGATTTGAACGAGGGCGCGACTGGAGGATTAGCTGGTGATGATTCGCGCTCTTGGATGTCGCCCACGAAAGTGGGGAACGACGGCATGGGGAGCTCATGCTGTTCTTCCTGATCCAGCTTCTCGACTGCGCCGGTATCGAAGTTCAAGTTTACGCGCTCTCCTCTTTGGAACTCCATGTTGACGGTAATGTGGTGGTGTTGAGGCGGCGCAAATGTTCCTTCTCGAAACTTTGGACTGCCGCTGGACCCTTGTACGCGGGGCGGCTGCTAGCGCGTTCTGATGGCCTTGCCTCGGGGCTTCTTCGATGTTCACGCGCGGGACTGAGCCTCCTACCCCACCACACTTCGCGCAGCAATGCCACGCATACATGCAGCAGATAGCATGAGAATAGCTATGGGCTTTTGACATAAGAAGGGCACGTCTCCCTATTCTAGACGTCATAGATATTGCGCCGCCTCTGCCGAAACACTAACATCATGAACGCCATTGCCTCTGCACGAAATACCGATCTTCCAAGGGAATCGAGAGTTCCGACTCTCTGTATGCAATGCAAAAACTTGGCACCTCGTCTTACTGTTCCAGTTGGTGTCTGCAACGAGAGGCTAGTGGTCAGGAACGGTTCCAAGTGCCCGCTGTGTCTATTCTTTGCTGCTATAATACACGGAAAGTGTTCGTCATCTACCGTTAGGACATCAGCCCGTTTTCGGCTCTTGGACTATCAAGGACCTTCAACAGTTGGAGGACCTCGCGATTTCTCATTCCGGAACTACTACGTCCAGTCAGAGGATTGCACTATCTCCCGCTTCATCCTCCCAGAGTCCGGATATGAGAACCTGCGATTCCGCACACTACCGAAGAACCTCATTGACTATCCCCTGCTACGAAAGTGGATTACGCACTGCAAGACCTACCATGGAGACGTATGTTCCCACCAAGGCCAGACTTCTCAGCTGTGGACTCCAGGAAGAACTGCACTCAAAGTCATCGACTGCAGGTCATGCAAGATAATCGTGGCATCTCCAGGTGCGGAGTATGTTGCACTTAGCTACGTTTGGGGTGAACCGTCAGCTTCCAATAAACACGACAGTGTCCTTAGCTGGGGAACTGCTACGGAGAGCTTGTTGAACCTGCCAGAAACGATCAAGGATGCAATGAAGGTCACCCTTAAGCTTGGTTACCGATATCTATGGTGCGATAAGTGCGTAGGATTCACGTCAGAAAAACATGTTGGACATATGCTGACTATGACCGCCAAGATACTGTTTCGACCAGCAATCGGATCCGCATCAACTACAAAGCCAGCTATCTATGATGGCTATGATCTATTCTGCGGCAGCAGTGACTATCGTTGCTGCAGCTGGTGATCACTCTGATCATGGACTACCCGGTGTTGGTGGTCGAAGTCGGACTACGCCTCCTGCCATTCAATTGAATGGCACGACATGGGTAGCAGGGCTAGACGACTTCAAAACACCCATTCGCGAATCACCTTGGTCCCAAAGAGCTTGGTGAGTTACTTCATCTACATGTGTTCATCAGTACTGACCACGAACTCTTATCGTGCAGGACGTATCAAGAGGAGTTTTACTCACGCCTGCAGCTCATCTTCACTGAGGAGCAGGTTGTCTTTGAGTGCAACACAATGAGCTGTTTCGAATCAGTCACCACGGAAAACTCATCTGGCTCAACAGATTTGTTTAGCGGGCGGAGCAGTGCCTATATACGAAGCACTTGGGACGATCCTTTCCGCGAGCATATCGTGCGCTATACGAAACGAGCATTGAGCTATCAATCGGACGTTCTGAACGCAATGCGTGGCCTCTTCCAGTCGTTCTCCACGCAAGACAACCCATGTTATCAGTATTGGGGTATACCGTATACCATGACTGCCTGTACCGAGATCCAATCCAGGTCTAGGATGTGGTCTCATCTTTGGGCTCATGGTGTTCAGTTGGATGATGTGAAACATCAGCTAAATGCTTCGTTTTGCCGGGAACTATGCTGGGTCGTCAATCCGGAATCACCCACGAGAACAATCCGGCGAAAAGGCTTTCCTAGCTGGTCCTGGGCGGGCTGGATTGCTCCTGTTCTGTGGCCATGCACATCTCCGTTGACCTGGGACAATATTCTGCCAGTGGAACTCCACGTGGTGAAGTTTGATGGAACAGATGAGCCTCTGACAGAAGAATTGGTAAAGATGATTTTCGAGAATGACGGTGATCTTGCGCTCGATTACACTTATCAGTTGCGCATAGTGGCTGAGGTTCTCTACCTTCGGTTCGTCTACATCCCAACGAAACGGCGTCGACATTCACACATCTTTGATCGTCCAACCAGCACATATAAAGACGCAATATACGCAGCACGCGGTACTATTGAGATGATCTCCGGCTCTGGCGAGCGCAGTTTTGAGGATCATCAATGGCTACTGGATGTCACAAGTGATGCCAACTATGAGTTACATTACTCGCTCTGCAATCACCTATTCGCGGGCATAGTCATATGCAAAGACTATGTTCTGGTTACGCGTACTAGAGACGGAATGACAGAGCGCATAGGGGTCATGTCTGCCCGCAGCGTAGATTCCGGAGAAAGAACTGAGCTACATCCTCGCCTATGCTTTCCCGGTAGTCGCCGAGATATCATTCTGGGATGATGAGCTTATCGAGAAGAATTCTCAGCTGAAAGTATTCCCAATCACATCTGTGTGTTCTTCCTTTTCATGAACGCCACTATCTAGAGTGACACGTACTTTGGGTGTAGCTGAAAGCGCCACCCTTTTCCCAAGAAAGAAAATCTACATCTTCTCTACGCGCGCTACATGGAGAGTGTGCAACATCCAGAGAAGAAGCACAGTATCCAATAAGCACCTGTTCTTAGGGTTTCAAGGCCGCCAACTTACCCCACATGCCCCACATGTGGCTACTGAGACTAGTGAACTACAAAGACATACAAGTACTTATAGATGCTGAAGAGGTTGCTCAAGAAACGTAAGCTCTGGACGAGGGTATCTGTAACAACACAGTCATGGCGTCTTCTAATGAAAACTATCCACGGGGACCATACGAGGTCGGCAAGCACATCGTTCCTCCTCCACGGCCGAGCTCACCATCAACTGCCGAGTACCGCCTCAATCATCTCATGACGCGCATCAAAGACCCAGAGAAGAGTTTGAAGTTCTACTGTGACTGCTTGGGCATGCATGTTGTGTTCATTTTCAATGCTGGTCCATTTACCATCTACTACCTTGGACCACGAGACAGTGGTAGGTACACACATTTGCCCATAACTCCGACAGAATACTAAAATGTTTACAGGTATGTCCACCCTCGGTACCTCAAAGGGGTTACTAGAGCTGTACCACATCCCCGCAGACGCGTCTACGCCGTATACTTCTGGCAATGACTACTCTAATTCGGCGGGCATCGGCTTCGGTCACATTGGATTCACAGTACCAGATGTCCCTGAAGCACTGGAAAGGATCAAAAGCTTTGGCTACGAGGTCATCAAGCCGCTGGATGAGGCGAAAGAAGAGCAGATGGGTTTGCCTGCAGAGGCTGTAGAAGGGAAACACGGGACAGTACAAGACGGCTACAAGCATGTCTTCAAACAGCTCGCGTTCGTGAAGGATCCTGATGTAAGTGGGCGCCAATCAATGAACAGAAATGTATGAGAGAAATGGCATGCTCACAGCTACTAGGGTTACTGGGTTGAGATCGTACCTCAGGTGGTCGAGCCGCCGAGTGGTTAGTGAGAGGATCGAAGAGTTTGTCAAGCTAGATCTCGCAAACAAAACGCTATCCAACTCCAACTTTCATGAGTGTTCTCATCTTCCTCTTTTTCTTACGAAAGAGCTCTCCACTTGACTGCACGTCCTTGCTGCCTTTCTACGAATACCATGTCAACGCACTCACGGAGAACTTCTGACGCATCCGTCAAAGTAGTAAGACTAGGTGTCGACGGGTGATTAGTCCTAACAGCCCATCAATTTAGACCACTGCTGATAACATCCAGGTTCATCTCCTCGCCGCTCATCAAAGTTCTCGTTGGGCCAGAATCTCAGCGTTCAGAACTGTTTGTTCACCAGTCCATCATCACGTCGCGATCCAAGTTCTTCGCCAGCGCGCTTAGTGGCAGATGGAACAACTCTGACGCTAAGACTGTCAGTCTCTACGATGTTGACCCTGAGCTGAGATTAGAAGATGTTGACCACTATTTGGAAGCCGTCTATACGAATCGCATCACGCTCAAGGATGACTCAAGCGTTCTTGAACGTATATGTCACGTATACGTGATAGCTGAATTGCTGCTCGATCTACAGACCCGTAATCTGGCGACTCGGGCACTGTATGAGCAGATCTGCCGCCCTATATCTTATCCGTTCGTTGCGCACACATACCCTAGCTCAGAGTGTATAAAGATTATCTACAAAGGTACAGTAGATGGGGATCTAATGAGGGACCTACTTGTTCATAGTTCGTGCGGTTTCGGGGGCCATAGTTTACTCCAGTGCGATGATTTGCCGGAACAGTTCTTGAGTGAGCTAGCGACGGTGGCTGCGCCGAAGGGGTATCGTAAACCTGGACCAGTCGAACCGTTGTTGTATCATTTGGAGGCATATCTTGAAGACGATTCATAAGCGCTTAGGGCTGTGATCGACCTCTCTCGGTCTTTGAGGTCCATGGAGGGATGAATGTCGTCATAGATGTTAGAAGGAATGTGAAAAAGCAACACCTCAACCAAAGTTCTCGACTTTTCAAGGGCAGATAGAGTATGATCTTCACAATCATGCTGCAGGCGTGTTCAAGGCTCTGAGCAGAATGTCAGTATACCAGCCATAGCGACTTGAGATGAGACGACAAGCGTCAAACCAGCGGTACTGGCGGAACGTGAAGATACGCTAAGTCAGGTACCCGCCGCCACTAGCTACCAGTGCTACTAAAAGGACCCTGCATCATCCCGCAACCTCTTAGATCAATACAGTTGAGCACGAGAACGGTATCAATGCTCGAAAACAATTGATATTTTGTAGTTGCTACGGCCAGAACACGTACACGACTCGCGAGACATAGCGTCAGTGTGCATGTGACACCCAGGATCCGGTTTTCGGTAAGCGAAAACGATCATTGCAAGGGTGCCAACCGGAGTTTCAGATCTGAGGAGTCGAGGTCGCTCCCTGGAGCATGTCTCCCTAACGGCCTCGCCCTACATGCTGTACGTTTCGTGAGATCCTTACGATCGCTCGTTAACCTCTGTAGTCCAAACACTGACTGGCGTTAGTGGACCGTCCCCACGAACGTTACTCGCGCGTGCGATGCGAGTGAGTCGTCTTGGGGGAAAGGGGGTGGTAGTGGTTGCGGCGCAATATGACGTCCCCCAAGACAAAATTCCAGGCTTGTAAAAGCCAATCCTCAGCCGCCAGACTGCATTGGGCCACGGCCGTTTCCAAGTCATAAAGACATGTTTATCGGGAATTGCCCTGGGGTTTGCGTTCCCCATCCTCAATTCCGTGGTCGCTATGGATTTACAGAGGTTGAAGACGCGTATCGCGCGCGCCAGAGGTGCCGGCGCGACATCCTCAGGCTCCGGCACGGGCGAGCTGCATGCTCCACAACAGTCTCAGGCACCCCACGATAACTCCAGCACGCATGCCGTCAACGAAGGAATTCAGAGCGCCGAGCCTGGGACGAATGCGCAGGACTTTGGAGCAGCCGCGGACCAACCAACACAACAACCTGTCATCGAACCGCCTACCTCGTTAGAGTCATCCATCGATGCTGGCCAGCATGTCCCCAAGCCCACCAGGGCAACCGATCCCTCGTCGCATGTCACGTACAGGTATGCTCTAAGCACGCGAACGAGGAGAGTGCAATGCTGACCTTTGTCAAGTACTCTTGCCGCGCAACGAGCAAGAAGCAGCTCCGCGCCGACCAAACCCCAGCAATACCCACGACGACCGCAAGTCGGCCGTCAAGCCAGTATCGGCATACGGCGTATGCCTTCATCCAACGCCCTAAGACAATCCGCACAGCAACCACAGGGTTCTATAATAAGAGCGAGCACGCCCTTGCCTGCGCTGGACGAGGAGGCAGAGCTGGGACAATTCTCCTCCGCCAACGGGAGCCAGAGTACCCTCAACAATCCAGAGCCGGACAGAAGTCGACTACGGAAGGTCAAGAGCGCGATACAGACCAGGATACCCTTTTGGGGCACGAAGGAAGAGGAGAAGTCGCCGACGACAAGCGCTCATGCTCCTGCTCCTGCAGCGGAAGACGGCATGTCGTCCAACTACACCTCAGGCATGGTCGATGTGCTTGACACCATCGACCCCGAAGTCGCGACGCTTACTTCCTTGACAAACATGCAAAATTCGCTCTTTATTCCGAACCTGCCATGGTTAAACCGCCGGCCCACTTATAACCTCAAGCGACGGAAGAGCGAGACCGACAGTCTGGAGGAGATCAACCGCATACTGGAACCCGCTCGTGCTGCTCAGGCGGAGGCGGAAGCAGAGGCTCAGGCGGCCCAGGCGGCTCCCAGATTCCAGCGCTCGGCGACTGAGACCACGACGGCGACCATGATGACGATAGATTCGCAGCTTACTGAGTCGCGCTTCGCTGTTCTTCCTGAGGATACTGACTTGTCTGGGTGGAGCGTCGAAGACAAGAAAGAGGTGAACGACCACGTACGGCACATGCTCCACTCAAGACGCTCGAAGATGAAGCGCTCGCTCAAGGGATTCGGCATGTATGTCAGGAGACGTAAGTATCTGTACCACTATACTCTCAACCATTACTGACAATCTACAGCACTTGGCTTCCTAGTCACCCTCTACGCCTTCCTCATCACCGCATTCGGCTTGGCCTGGGTGCTCTTCCTCATCGGCTGGGCTAATGTCGGTGGACAGCAGATCTACGTCGTCCACGTCATTGACAGTGTTCTCGTTGCTCTCTTCGCTGTTGTAGGAGACGGCCTAGCACCTTTCCGTTGTGTCGACACATACCACATGATCTACATTGCTCACTACCACCATTTCACATGGTCCCGCCGTAAGAAGGACATGCTTCCTGACCTCACCGACCACAACGACCTTCCTGCCGAACACGCTCCCGTATCTGGACCACGCGCTATAGACCCAGCCGACCCCGAGAAACAGTGGGAATTCACCGTGTTGACGCCAAAGCAGCAAGAGAAGCTCGAACACCACCAAGCCAAATTCTGCAAATCGCACTCCTTTTACAAGCCCCACGAGACGGAGACCCATTATGCCTTCCCTCTCCGTTTCCTTGTCGCCATCGTCGTACTTCTAGACTGCCACTCTCTACTCCAGATCTCCCTCGGCGCGTGCACATGGGGTATCTACTACAAGGTTCGTCCCTTTGCTATCACCACTGTTATCCTCTGCTGCTCTATCGCCTGCAATGCAACGGCCGGTCTATTGATCTGGTTGGGTGACAAGAGGACGAGGAAGAAGGACGTAGTAGAACGTATGAACAGGCAAGAATTGACTGGAGAAGCCATCAAAGAAGTGGAAAAGAAGAAGCAGAAGGAAAAGGAGAAGGAAAGCGAGGCCGAATCTAGCGGTGCAGATGAGGGTAGGGACAGGGAAAGAAGGAGGATCAGTCTGGATGCTTTCAGACCGGGGAAGAATGCGGAGAAGGAGAAGGAGAAGAAGCAGCAGAGCGAGAGTGCATACCCCTAGGAGGAAGTAATGGTGTTGCACAGTGTCTGATCGACATGTTGCTGGCATTTTCATCTTGCATTTTTTCTTGGAAGCGTTCAAGCGTTTATATACCTATGTAGCGATGTGGTTATGTTGGACCTACCTAATTACGCATTTTTCATCTTCTTCATAGTCTGTACTTTTGGAGTGAGGGGTAATGTTCGAGTTTCTTGCTGTTGTGGCGTTTATTGTTGTGGCATTTACTGTCAACGCTGCTCAGGCAGACACGTTGTATGCAAGGCTCATGCGAGGCTACCGGAACTAGTGGTTTCAGACCAATGGGTTTGTATCATTGCCACATGTTGTATGGAATCATAATGCCACAAGGCACTCGCAAATGTGGAACCTGAAGCATGATTCAAGCCCATCACACCGTGATGCATTGTCAATTGTCTTGTATTATCTGAACGCAACCAGAACGGACGCTTCTATATCGTGTCGGCACCGCCGTTCTGCGATGACCGTTGTATCCTCCAATTCCTTCTCCCCCAGTCACAACTCGTGGTAATCTTGCTCCTCCGTCTTCTACATCCTCTCATGGGTATAAACTTTCTAGCAGCCCTCGATCTGCTCAACACCGGCGGTGGTGCCCTTGACACACATGCCATGGTTCTGACGGGCGGCAACTTCTGTTTCTTGTTAGTCATTGCTCCTGAAAATCGCTTTGAGTTTGAGAAGAGAACATACCCTCGTTGGCGACAGGTGCGGCCATGGCGAAAGCGGCCATGGAGACGATGGTAGCGATGACAGCGGAGAACTTCATTTTGAAATAGTGTTTAGGTGATTATTGAACTCGGAGAGTAGGTGTAGAAGAAGCGTAGATGGTAGTTGTAAACGTGGTAAAGTCGCCCGGCGACAAAGAGTGAATGTATAGAAAGGGTGGAAAACAAGAAGATTGACTTGAAGAAGTTGACTTGATGGTGAGCTTGAAGTAAGGAAAGCGTCTACTAGCCTGAGGATACTTCCAACTTATAGCCTGCCAGCCACGGCGCATCTGACATACAGGCACACCGCCGTCGTCGTCATCAGGCGCCGTTGTCAATCACAAAGTCATCCTGGTACCTTACTTTGTGCCTCGCGCTGAGAAGGCTGAAACCGGAGTCTAGACTTTCCTGCCTGTTTCTTGGCACTGTATTAGCGAAAGGAGTACGATCTGCTCCATAGCAACGGCGGGGAGTGGAGCGGTCTGGTTCTGCGGGAAGGGCACGGCCGGGGATGAGGTGTGTTGAAGTGTGTCAAAAATGTCGGAGAGATGTCGATGCCTTCCCAAAGAACGGGAGACGCGCGGCTTCCGTACCCAGATCCTTATGGGGTATGACGACGATGCAATGGAATATGTAGTATCGGCTTGGTTTCGATTATGTAGAATTGCCCTCCGTGCTAGTCAGTGTGAGCAGACTTCGGTATCTTCCAAGAAGGCATTCAGCCTGCTCTCACATCCATCCTTCTCCTTTGGTGAGTAGACTTGTTAAGATACTGTAGTACCGTATAAGCACCGTGATGCAGAGCGGTTGGAATGAGATGAAACGGTACTCAAACTCAGCCGAAACTCGGAAGAGCACTTCCCTTGGCAACGATCTCAGAGATCACAATGCGATGCGACAAGTCGCCAAGTACCATCTGTTGACCTGCGCTCTTTCCAAAACGTCGATACGCGTAAGCCTGGGGCAGAACTTGTCGTTGTTGGTGCAATGATGGTCGTTCGCCCGTAACTGTCCCGAGGTCGCGAGTGTTGAACGGGTCAGCTGCCGCTAGCCGTTTGTGGACACTTCGCTTCGCCGCGGACTTCAGACATATCTTGAGGATTGCCCTCTGACAATAACATGGCGTTTCTGCGACTTTTAACTATGAACTTCACGTAGTTCGAGAGACGAGGCTACATTGTTGGTATGTAGGACCGCTCATTTTGACTACCG